GGTATATTTGAAGTCCCAAAACGGCTTAGTTTCAGAAATATCCCAAATTTAAATTCAAAAATGACCGTTAGCTCCGCACCCTCCGCTCATTTGCTCCGCACCCAATATTTCCCACAGGCTCTGTCTGCATAGGGTGAATTTTGGAACATAAATAAATGACATGTGAATTTGCTGAAGTGACGATTTCCCATGTTAAAAATAAGAGAATTTTAGAGAGACCATACATCATGCGATTTATCGCATTCTACCCCCACTTTAACAAAAACCTGTATGGCCCAGTTATCTACGCCTGACGTTGTTGGTCTACGACATTTCAGAATCAGGGAGTGGATAACAGGGCCAGACGAGTTTGGTTACCCCCATTATGTTTTTTACAAATTTAAGTGGGGGTCGTAGAGTAGATGAGATTACAGTAAAATTTTGAATGTTTGGAACTTCTCTGAATCTAAAAAATAAGCAATTAAAGGACCACATTGAAACAGAACATGTAAAAATAGAAACATTTATACATGTTCTTACCTTTGTTTATTTTAGTTTGTTTTGTAGTTTAGCTATCATATCTGTGACCTCATATTTCAATGCTTCTCTGCCATGTTATTTTCAAAAAAATTATAGAACTCCCTAAATATAGTATGCTGACCCCTGGACCCCTTGTAATTGACCTAACGAAAATTATGAACCGGGAATTATGATTGAAAATCGTGATGAAATTGAAAATCAATAACATCGATTCAAATATCAGAATATTCAAAAGTTCATTTCAAAAATTATGAAAATTGAAACGATCCCAACTTTCACATGAGATTATTTGTGTTCTCGCTGCAAGTACCGGCCATGGAATGCTTTCATTTTAACCTTTGGTGATTGTGTAACATGCATGCATCATTCTTACCTTCGAAAGCTGGCAGTACGGCTCCCAAGTTGCTTTTAAGCAGCAATATCTTGAACTTGGAACTGTCCTCCATGTTGATTTCGACGCGGGAATTCCTCTATTTCTATTGGTTGATAGAACAGAATACGATAAAAAGCCGAACGAGAAATACATCAAATTTGCGAACGATGTACTTTCCGTTTGTAACGCTCGCCCTTGTTGAAAGGGACTAAAACCGCAAACTTTAGTCCCGGTGTAAAAGGGTAGGAGGTCCTAAAGAAAGGGGACCATAATCCCCAGGGGACCATAATTTATTTTACACCGGCAAGCTCCAGAGGAAGTCGACATGGACATCTATGAAGTTCAGAGGAAGAAAATATGGAATTTTATAACTCTGAGAGGAATAATACATGGAAACTTCCAATTTTGAGAGGAAATTGACATGGAAAAAATGCTCAAAAAGGGGGTCTTTGGCGCGGCACATAGGTGTTAAGAGTTATATTGGAGTGAACCCCCCGGGACAGAACGTCAGACTTTTGTCAGCAATAACCCATGGCAAAATTACAACGTCGGAGAAACGCCAATTTTCTTTACATCATATTTCCACTCTCACTCTCAATTACCACGTTAAGTTCAACTGTGTGAGCCAACATATGCCTGTGCCTCCACCGATCAGTATTTAAAGTTACCACAACTCGAGGCATAAATGTATATTCGTTATATATTTAACATTTACTTCACGTCACAAATTAAACGAATTTGTTGAGACCACAACGTCTTTGTCACGTTCTTTTTCACATACATGTATATGTATTTTTCACGTTTAAAACCCGTTTCGTCAACGTCAAAATTAACTATTTCGACAACGTTGCAAATAAACCAATTTCGTGAGGACATAGCGTCTTTTTGTAACGTTTCCTGCACTTCAGATATTTTTTTACATTTCAATTGAAAACACGTTTCGACAACGTTGAAATTAACCGTTTGCACTACGTTGAAAATGAACCATTTTGGTCAGAAAATGACGTCTTTGTAACGTGTTTTACAATTTCAAATATTTTTCACATTCAAACCATGTTTTGACAACGTTACAATTAGCCATTTTCACTACGTTGCAAATGAACCAATTTGGTGGGAAAACAAGGACTTTGTAACGTTTCCTAGACTTACAATTATCTTTCACATTTAAAACACGTTACGACAACGTCAAATTTTACTGTTTATATTACGTAGCAAATGAAACAATTTTGTGAGAACTGCAACGTCTTTGTAACGTTTTCTACACTTACAAATATCTTTCACATTTAAAACACGTACGTTACGACAACGTCAAATTTTACCGTTTACATTACGTAGCAAATGTACCAAATTTGGTGAGAACGCAACGTCTTTGTAACGTTTTTTACACTTACAAATATCTTTCACATTTAGACAAATCAAGAAACGCGTATACCGCTACCAGTATAACTATGCTGCATGTTAAATCCCTATCTAGGCCCATTAAGCTGTCAACGCAAACATTAATGTGGTCTCATATTCCAGCAAGTTGCTGAAGTTGCTTCTCAAAGCAGAATTAGGGTTTTGGTAGAACTCAGATCTGTGTTACTGTACACAGGGAAATATATTTCATTTCTCATCTTTTAGGTTTTTGAGATAATAATGTTATTTATCTTATTTCCCTTAGTCTTTTGACAAATTATAAATAAATAGAATGCATACTGTTAAAAAATCATTGTTAGATTATTTAAAAGGATGAGATTTTGTTGATTTATTTCTGAAAGATTAAGCTAATATAAAGAGTTTACAGTAATAGAAGAAACCAAACTGCTTTTAAGAGAATACGTTACACTTTACATTTTAAATGTAGCAAACTTAATCATTTAATAAAACTATTTATCGAATCCATCTAAAGCCTTGGATCTATCAGTAATTTTAATGTAGAGTACTGTGAAAGAATGCTGCTATCTCAAATATTTCCAACCGTTTTTTAAATCTATTTTGAGTGACAAATATTTCAGTAGATTGATTTCAATAGGGGTTGATTAGAATATACGGGATAGATATCTTTGCAAACTTTTGTTGTGATCTTCATATCCTTTTCGGTTGCAATTTTTTTGTCATATTTAGACATTTTACAAGTACTGTACATAGAGTGTGAGTTTACTATAGGATCAGTATTATAGTACCCCACACAAGTTTTTGATAATAACTTTGACCCATGATTTGAACATTCTCCCCTATAAGTCTACAATTTAAATTAAATCTAGCCATATGCTACACATATTACCATCGTTACATTGTTTCAATGAATATGATGTTAAAATTGTAGTACATTTATGACCTGGACAACTAGATATCAAGGGCAAGTATATTTCATAAATAAAGCTTTGTTGATAGACAAAGCTTATAGCTGTCTATATGCAGACTACCAATAGACTATTCAAAAAGACCATAAAGACTTACTTTAACAATTCTTAATTTTGATTTTATGACATCAAATTTGTTAAAAAGGATTAATGACATCCTTGGTTCAGTTGCTTTTTTGTTGTTATTGAAGTAAAAAAAATAACATATTTCCAATGTGGAAATTGCCTCTAGTTCATGTGTGCTAAATTCAATAACAAATAGTAGATCTCGAGTGTTCAAATCACGGGTTAAAGTTATTATCGAAAACTTGTGTGGGGTACTAGTGACTAGAAAATGTAGCATTATACACAGCTTTACATTCAATTAACACAAGACGTTTCTATGTTTATCCATTAGACATTTTTACAGTTAAGTATTCATGTTTATGCCTTATCAATGTTAAGTAGCTACACTCTTCCAAGACACCTACTGCAGAGGTATCAGATGGCAAACAAACTGGCTTAATCACTGATGATATGGAAATTCTATACGGCTACTGTAGCGGTATACGCTGCCATAGGAGATTTCTTGATTTGACACGTTTCGACGACATCAAATTTTACCGTTTATATTACGTAGCAAATGAAACAATTTGGTGAGAAGTGCAACGTCTTTGTAACGTTTTCTACACTTACAAATATCTTTCACATTTAAAACACGTTACGACAACGTCAAATTTTACCGTTTACATTACGTAGCAAATGTACCAAATTTGGTGAGAACACAACGTCTTTGTAACGTTTTTTACACTTACAAATATCTTTCACATTTAGAACACGTTACGACAACATCAAATTTTACCGTTTATATTACGTAGAAAATGAAACAATTTGGTGAGAAGTGCAACGTCTTTGTAACGTTTTCTACACTTACAAATATCTTTCACGTTTAAAACACGTTACGACAACGTCAAATTTTGCCGTTTACATCACGTAGCAAATGTACCAAATTTGGTGAGAACACAACGTCTTTGTAACGTTTTCTACACTTACAAATATCTTTCACATTTAAAACACGTTACGACAACGTCAAATTTTACCGTTTATATTACGTAGCAAATGAAACAATTTGGTGAGAACTGCAACGTCTTTGTAATGTTTCCTGCACTTACAAATATTTTACACATTTAAAAAACGTTACGACAACGTTAAATTTTGCCGTTTATATTACGTTGCAAATGAACCAAACTGGTAAAAATTCAACGTCATTGTTACGTTTTTCACACCAGCACAAATTTCGAACTTTACTAACACATTACTACAACGTCATTTTTTAACCATCCACCGACGTTTTGCTGAATGTCACAATTTTACGTTGCTTTGACGTTTATATAACGGAAATATACAACGTCTCCAGTGAACTTATATACCACATATGAGTGACGTTACATGGACGTCACTGTTTGCTGGGTAGAGGACATGTTCAGGAAACCCAAATGTTGAGCTTGTATATTCATTTTTACACTTTTGACAATGAATTGTTTTTTGAATTTCTCAAAGGACGAACAAGTGATGGAAATGTTCCGATTATTGGGCACACCCTGTATGTTATTGTTGCTTTATCACTCAAAACGCCGACTCCAAGTCTAGTCGGGCCGCGGTGTGACCTGTGAAGCATTGCCAACATTTACATTTGACCAACCGGAACATTGAGTCTAAAGGGGTTAAAAGAGATTGATAAAGAAGCAGCAATTCATCTGAATCTACAACGACACGAACTTAACATGTCTGCTGTACCAACACGATCGTATATGGAAGATCCTAAAATTAAATGGAGGTCGGGAAAGCCAAACTATGATCTGGTCAACGCAAAATATTTGAAGGAAAAGCAGTCAAATCATCCCGTTGACTCGCTTGAGAAACTTGTGGAAAATGTGGCCAAGACTTGGGAAATGGAAATGACAAATAAGCTGGATTTAGATGTAAGTCAATCAATGTAGTAACCAGGTTAAAGAGGCAATGTTAACTACATGTGAATTATCATGTATTCGTATTGTCTCACCTTTGTCCGACAAAATAATGAAAAGTATAGGCTACTATTTACCATGTACAATTGTATATGTAGTTCAATAGGGTCTTTTATTATTTAACACGTGGTTACAAATGATGCTGATAGGTCACTGATTTTTTTCAACAAAATAGGATAAAAAACTGATCCGTTGGCCATTCTTTCCGTCCCATTGGATTACATCGCGGGTGCCGTCTACTTTTCAATGGAAATAAGTTCACAGAAAATAAAATGAAAAAATTCGAAAATAATTAGAAAACAGCAACTCTTAGCTCAAAGTATTGTAAGTTCACACAAAAATAACGACCATAGCATAAATATGATATCCTATGATTTTTCTCGGTCTATTATTTTTATCCATTCTTGGATATCACCGATATCCACTCATTCGCAGCGCTCACTTGTGGAGATGGGCGATATCCACCAATGGGTAAAAATGGTATCCCTCAAAAATCATAAGATATCCTTTATAGTATATGTTCTAAGCATCCATCTCTAGTTATCTGTTTACCAATGAGAGCCAATGAGGTTTATCACGATCTCGTGATTTATAAACATGCAGAATACTAGTGCGTCTATTTCTTTATCATTTTTAAATGAATGATGAATGTGGCATCCCATCCCAGTGGATGAGTCTACAATGACGCGCATACTGCATATGTACGGTCGATAGAGGCGCCAGAGAAGTTCATGAAGACCTGGGTAATACAAATATTTATGTTTCAAAATTTAGAATTATGAGTGGATTTAGTTACCAATTGAGCCATAAATTAAAAGCCTAACATTTCGGAAATCACGTTCGACTCGTATGACCGAGTTCAAAATATAATTCTTTTTACTCTTATTTTTCAATATAGATGGTGTTTATATCGGTTTAAAGTTGGCATTGTTTTTTGCAGTGACGTGTCGCAAAAAGGTGGCGCGTTTGTTTTTTAAGGGTATCGCGTGAATGTAACTTTGATTCCCCGGACTATAAGATAATATTCTAATTAAAGTTATATATCATTTTAAAGCTGTTTCGATGAAGTTTTTAGATCAACTACACTCCGTTCACGATTCTTGCGCGTTCTTTTTTAAAAAAGTAACATCTGCAAATATCCCCTGTTGACACCTGATATTTTGAATTATTTTGAAACGCTCATAACTCAAACAATATATGACTATCATACATATTTTTCGTCTTGATAAAAGTAGATGGAAGTTTTATTTCAAAGGATGAATTTTAGTAACCGTCCCATATTGTGACGTCATAGAGTTTGAAAAATAGAATCTGTTGACAGCGACCTTTTTTGCTCATTTTTTGTTACCTTCAACTTTTCAGGTGTACATTAAACAAAAAATACGAGATCAATTTTTAATAAATCATACATGATTATTTTGCTCTTAAACTTTAGTTTATTAATAAATAGTTGATTTTGTTCGCAAAAGTATGTGTTTTCTGTTGTATGGGAAAAGCGGAGGAAGAAAGGTTTTCAAAATTCATAGAAATAGGGCTAATTTACGCCATTCGTCTATTTTCAAGCATAGCAACACGTATATTAATTTCACTTAAAATATCAATTGATTCGTGTTTTATGATGCTCCTATCCCATTGTTGATACATATACGATATCAGAGTTATTCGCCATAGATATTTTGAGGCAAATGTTGAGGACGAAAGGATTTCCATATGTGTACATTTTTCTCAAAAAACGTCACATTCTGTGGTGTTAAAAAGCGAAAATGTGTAACAATGCCTGCGCGACCTTTTTGCGACACGTCAGTAACAATTTTTAAAGTTTCTTGTTGAGTTATTTATTTTTAATGATTTTCTTGTTAATTTATAGTTTCGTTTCCTCTATGCTAATCTTATACTTGTGGATGGCGATAAAGGGTGACAAATAAGAATCCGTTCATTAAATCTACCTTTGAGTCTTGGGTTTAGATCAATGGCCTTCAGGACTGTCAATAGATGGCGAAAAATTCAGTGGGTTTAATAGCATACTTTAACATGTAAAAATTGTTCCAAAAATCTCCCAATATAAATTTTATTGAAAATATACAAAACCTTTTGATTTTGAATCTAAAACATGTTAGTAATAATGAAGGAAAATATGATATTTATTTGATATGTGTAGTGGATTTGAAGTTTTAAAACATCAATATTTACACGCAAACCAATGGGCGAGATATGAAGAACAACCTAGTAGCCTAACCTAACTAACTGCCATCTATACGAGTCCTGTCTCCTATTATTTCAATGATTTCTAAGATATGGACTGTGATAAAAGATTTTTCCCGATAATCGGAATCGGAATTATCCAATATCACAGGTGGAAACGTTTTGTAAAATTTGTTTTGTGTTGGCACTCTATCTTACAACAAACACATTTTACAGGATTCAATATTCAGTGAGTTTTTGAAACATATCCGAGAACTTATCCGAGTTAGTTTAACTTAAAAAACATTCAGATATTTACGGTTTCAGTTACAAGTCTTCCTTTAAGACTTTGGACCCGCATTCTATCTAAACAACACAGTGCGTTGTTAGAGTGGATAGTTCAGGGTCCTGAAGCAAGACTATAAAGTTACGTACATAAAAGCTTTAACAACGCACACGTTTAACAACGACCACTTGGTAAAATAGTTAAAATAATATAGAATAAAATGTTTAATATACTGCTAAATAAGTTGCATTAAGAGAGAATCGTAGAGAATATGTTTTCCTGTATAATAGGCAGTTATTTCTTTTATTATAGCGGAAAAAAATATAATCGTATTTTTAAGAATTATTTTTGATTTAATTATATTATTCGTGTATTATTTAAAGAGAACAACATATAATACCATATAATATAGAATAATATTCCTGTCAGGAGCAAATAAGATGTTGGCATTTGCAATCAAAAACCGATTATACACTGTTATTTTCAAGCCGTTAATCCCTAATTATTCAATTCCTATGAAATGAGTTTCATTCATACTGATAATTAATCCATTTGTTAGGGTTAATGGATTAATCTCTACAGCTGATGGCTCTTAATTCCACAAAAATAATTTGCAAAATAAGTTTTTACATACATATTTGATTATATAATGTCCCTAATGTTATGATTAACATTGTGTTAAATTTTTGATTCAATCAATTAATTCATTGTAAAGTTAATTTTTGAATTCTTAATTAATTGGTTTTCCTCACATTCTTATTCCATTGTTTCTCTGTCACATTAAGTTTATAGCAAACAACATTTAAATCGATCCCTTCTTACACAGGTACAAACAACCACCTGTATTCACTTTGCCAACCGGAAAAACAGTCATGACACGGAACTGCTCAATATTCAATAAACACATTACGCATTTTATACAGACCCTTAGCCAAGAACCCCCCCCCCTCCCCGTGGCCAACAATACTTTCAAAATCATGTAGTTTTTCACCATTCACATACATGTATTGACATTCCAGAGCAACAAGCTTTAATCCCTAATTATTCAATTTCCATGATTTGAGTTTTGTTCACACTGATAAATAATCTGTTTGTTAGAGTTAAGGGATTAATTTCTAAAGCAGTTGGTTCTAATTTCAACTGAAAAATAAATTGCAAATTTAGTTTTTCATATCTATTTGATTGTATAATGTCCCTTATGTTATGATTAACATTGTGTTAAAATTTGGATTTAATTCATCCATTTAACAGAAAGTTAATTTTTAATCAATGGGTTTCCTCACATTTTTACCCCATCGGGTTTCCTCACAATTTAACTCAATTGTTTCTCTGTCAAATTAAGTTTACAACAAACAACACTTAAAGCCCCCTCTTACACAAACACCTTTAATCACTTCACAAACAACACAAAACATTTATGACACGAAACTGCTATATATCAATACATTATGAATTTGGTATCGGTCCATGGCCAGGGAGGGGGGGGGGTCGTTGGGTTCAAGTAAATCCCCTTCCCCCTTGCCAAAATTCTTTCAAAATCCTACATTTTTTACCAATCTGAGCACTGTTAAGTGATTTTGGGCCAAAATTATCAATTGTGACCCCTTGGTTTGTTTTGAAAATTGATCCCCTGGGCTAAAACTTATTACGAGCCTGTAATATATTGGATGTATTGCTCCGATTTCTTCTGGCAAATCACTGATAATAAATTAGGAAACGTGCATTAGATTAACTGATACAAGTGGTCCATGCTAAAACAAAATTAAAACTTGTATTCTCTCACATATCATAATTCGTGTGTTTTTTGTTATCCATATAATATCTGAGATATACATGTAAACCAGGGATATAAACAACAGATAAGTCCATGATGGAATACATTTGTTTCTACTATAATTGGACCATTTCTTTTAATTAAAGCTGGTTTTATTAACCTTTCTTTGTTTTCCATTTCCAAATACATATTCAATATGTTTAGTTGTTTGATAATGAAAATAAAGAAACTGGGACATTTTACATTTATTCTTAATCTTTCATCTGACAAAGCAATGATTATCCTTTGAGCAAATTGGTGCATGGTAGAACAAACTGATTTGTAAATAACATATTGGCATACGGTACATGTATGTCAGAGCAATATGATAAGTAAAACTTTAATCCCCAATTATTCAATTTATTTAATATGAGTTTCGTTAACACTGATGCTAATCTGTTTGTTAGAGGCAATGGATTAATTTCCTACAGCCAACAGTTCTAAGTTTCACAAAAAATAATTCAAAAATTCAGTTTTTCATATGTATTTGATTGTATAATGTTATGATTTACATTGTGTTAAAATTTGGATTAAATTGATTGACTCAACGGAAAGTTGATTTTTAATCAAGAATTTCCTCACATTTTCACTCCATTGTTTGTCAGCCATAATAAGTTTAAAAAGCTAAAAACTTTACGCATTTAATACAGGCCTGTACCTAACACAACGAGAAAC